ATTCGAGGAGGGGGAAAGAGGAGAGAGAGAAGGAAGGGGGGGGGGGGGCGCCGCCCCCCTCTCCTTGTCCTAGTCGGACTAGGGGGGAGGGGCGTGCGGCCCAGCCCTGGCCACCTCTCCTCTCTTCCACTAAAGCCCACTAAGGCCCATATAACTCCCGGGTGGTTCCGGTAACCTCCCGGTACTCCGGTAAAATCCCGATTTCACCCGGAACACTTCCGATATCCAAATATAGGCTTCCAATATATCAATCTTTATGTCTCGACCATTTCGAGACTCCTCGTCATGTCCGTGATCACATCCGGGACTCCGAACAAACTTCGATACATCAAAATGCATAAACTCATAATATAACTGTCATCAAAACCTTAAGCGTGCGGACCCTACGGGTTCGAGAACAATGTAGACATGACCGAGACACGTCTCCGATCAATAACTAATAGCGGAACCTGGATGCTCATGTTGGCTCCCACATATTCTACGAAGATCTTTATCGGTCAGACCGCATAACAACATACGTTGTTCCCTTTGTCATCGGTATGTTACTTGCCCGAGATTCGATCGTCGGTATCTCAATACCTAGTTCAATCTCGTTATCGGCAAGTCTCTTTACTCGTTACGTAATACATCATCTTGCAACTAACTCATTAGTTCTAATGCTTGCAAGGCTTATGTGATGTGCATTACCGAGAGGGCCCAGAGATACCTCTTCAACAATCGGAGTGACAAATCCTAATCTTGAAATACGCCAACCCAACATGTACCTTTGGAGACACCTGTAGAGCTCCTTTATAATCACCCAGTTACGTTGTGACGTTTGATAGCACACAAAGTGTTCCTCCGGTAAACGGGAGTTGCATAATCTCATAGTCATAGGAACATGTATAAGTCATGAAGAAAGCAATAGCAACATACTAAACGATCCGGTGCTAAGCTAATGGAATGGGTCATGTCAATCACATGATTCTCCTAATGATGTGATCCCATTAATCAAATGACAACACATGTCTATGGCTAGGATACATAACCATCTTTAATTAACGAGCTAGTCAAGTAGAGGCACACTAGTGACGTTTGGTTTGTCTATGTATTCACACAAGTATTATGTTTCTGGATAATACAATTCTAGCATGAATAATAAATATTTATCATGATATAAGGAAATAAAATAATAACATTATTATTGCCTCTAGGGCATATTTCCTTCATGCATATGTATGTGTTTTGCTCGTGCGTGCCTGATGTATGTGCCCTGTATTGGAAATATGAGCAATTTATCGAGAGGGGCGTTTTGGAGCTCGAGCTCAGCTGCACCCATAATCTAAGTCGTTGATATTTGCCTTGGGATGTGAACAATGCTAGTTGTGCTGTCAGATACGAGCGTCGGGTAAATAGGGAAACACCCAAATACAGTAGGAAACATTGGGCAATACGTGGGGTCGAGGCGAGGCAGGCGGACGGACGTCGCGGTGGCTCGGTCTGGGCCGTGGATCAGCATGTTGGCTTTCCTTCTAGGCTGGAGACCAGGAAGTTACCTTTTACAGTCTGTGCCTGGGTTCAGATAATGGGTCCGGGACGGTGGGCGGAATCTGTGCCGTCGTGTCGGTCCAAGGGAAACGCCTCGTGCGCACGGGCAACAAAAAAACATTTGTCCATCCCCTTTCCCCAGCTCGTTCTGGAAGAGCCGTGACCGGCGGCGTAACCTAGAGTGTGAGCGACTTGAATGCGATATTACTGCCGGGCGGTGCCGCACGGAGTTCCTGGTCAGCGGTGGCTGCGTTTGCAAGGCAGGATACCGAACTATGGAGGCGGAGGGAATGGAGTTCCCGCTGGACGCGGTGGACAAGTTTGTTCCGGGCAGATCTCTGCAACTTTTGTTATCTTGTACTGCATCCAGCGCCTAGCTTTAAATTCTGCTCGACCTGCCTTGCATATGAATCTGACCTCTATTACCGGCGAATTGCCTTTCCTCGTGTAGATTATCCGTACGGGAGGAATTTGCTGACAGCCTTGAGCATCCAAATCCAGTGCCGTTCCTCTATCTGCTGTAGAATGGGGTGCAGCTGAAAATCGCATTGAGGGCAATGGTGAATCTGGGCTAGCTCAGGTGGACGACGAGGGCGTAGCTGCAGACCGACCACATGGTGAACGTCGTCCCCATGGTGAATCTCCGACGATGTCTGCTCAGTCAACTGACAGGGTGAATCCGCAAGCCCCCGGGTGGACAAAAAGGTAAGAGCACGTGCTCTCCTCCCTTGGTCTTTGTCATTCAACAGATGAATTCACATGAGCATCACATATATGTGAAAAATTTATAAACTGAGATAGAAAACCACCAAATAGGTCCTAAATGATGTCATGAGCACTGTGGGTCGATTTAGCAATACGTCTTGAAAAATAAACTGAATTGAGGGACCAGATAGGTTTGCAGAATTTAAATACACCTAATGGCGGTGCAATCATCTTGACAATGACAAAAAATTAGTCAGGTAGCCATGTTAGCAAAATGAAAGTTCACAGCAGAGATTTCTTCCTTTTATGGTGATAATATGAAATCAGTGAAATCTGCATGGAATGACATAACATTGCACCGTACTTCTGCTTGTGTATATTCATTTTTGGCCGATGTGCGATCTGAAAAGGAAATAATACTGTGAATGGAGAACTTGCTGTATGAATCGTCGTAGCTCAATTGAAGATTCAGAGAGATTGGATACATTTAACGTTTACTGTCGTGCAAATTCAGGCTGCTTCTCGGAAGCGCGCCACCCGACCGAGTCCCATGCCCATCGAGGATGAGTGCTCTCGAGATTTCGATACACAAATATGCGAAGCAGCCTAACAAGAGTGTCGTTAGGCCTGATCTGGGGCTCAGTTTCGATTCGCTTAGCGAGGCATATGACTTCTACAACCTATATTCTTGGGAAGTCAGTTTCGGAATAAGATATGGAAAGAGTAGACTCAAAGCCGAGCGGACGAAAACCATGCAGGAAATTGTTTGTGGTTGCTCGGTGAGTTCATATTTTCATTCCAACGTAGAAAAATTTAGATACTAGTGTGTGTGAGCAAGATTTCGTCTCGGACATGGTGCAATGCTAAGTGTTGACATGTCTTCCTTTGTGGTGTGCAGGGGGAACCTGAATCCGAAAACAGTAGGTCCTGTAGATGTGAGTGCCCTGCTCTAATCAGGCTGCTGCGTGCATCGGACAACAACTGGTACATAACAGAGTATCGAGCGAGTCACAACCATTCGATGTCTCTGACAATGGGAGAGAAGGTGCACTGGCCTTCTCATAAGCACATTGATGTACACACCAAGGATTTGATAAAGCAACTAAGGGAAAACAATGTTAACCTTGGGAAGGTTTACAACATTATTGGGAGCTTCTTTGGGTCAGTCGAGAAGGTACCTTTCACAAAAAGGACGCTGAGAAACATTTGTGGGAAGATTAGCCGTGAGCAAGCTGAGGACGATGTCCGGAAAACACTTCATGCATTTGCTGACATCCAGGCCAACGATCTAGGATTTACCTATGTAGTGTTGGCAGAGAAAGACAACAAGATTAGAAACCTCATGCGGGCTAATGGCAGCAGCCGGATGCAATACAAATTCTTTGGTGACATTCGACAGGGGTTTTGATGCGTGACTAACAAGAAGAGAGCTTCGAATGGGTGTTCGAGGAGTTTGTCCGGATGATGGGCGGGCCAGCGCCGATGACAATACTCACAGGTATTGGGTGGCGGTGAGAAAATTATTTGTTCTCATCCTTGTCAAGTTGGACAGTTTTCTTGAACAAAAAAAATGTCATTGATCAATTCATACTTGTGCACCTGAGATGTCTGATTCGAATCTTCTTATTTGTTTACAGATCAATGCAGAGCTATGGAGGTTGCAATCAAGAAAACTTATCCTGATACAGTACACCATTGGTGCAAATGGCATGTCCTAAAAAAGGCGAAGGAAACGCTAGGACCATTGTACGCCAAGAAGAGTGACTTCCAGGCTGAATTTCACAAAGTTGTGAACCACATGCTAACTGAGGAAGAGTTTGAATCAGCCTGGGGAGCTCTCCTCGACAAGTACAATTTGAGGAATCATAACTACATGACCCAAATTTATGAAACCAGAAGGAAATGGGCGAAACCATATTTCCGGGGTGTTTTCTGTGCAAAAATGACAAACACCCAAAGGAGCGAGAGCGCAAACCACATGCTGAAATCGTACATGCCCCCAGCCAGCCCAATGCATGTATTCGTCCGACAATACTTGAAACTGTAGTTTGATCGAGAACGGGACGAAAGCTACGAGGAGAAGAGGACTATGATTGTAAGTACATTCTTGCCATACACACTATGCTGATCTTGCTTCATCATATTGATTGGGGATTTACTGGATGCGATTCTTATCTACACTGCTGTGTTTTCATTGCAGGGCGGTGCTGTCAGACGTACTAACCTTGCAATAGAGCGTCATGCCAGCAAGGTTTATACAAGGAGCATGTTTGAGGAATTTGGGCGACTACTTATCGAAGCAACCGCATACAATGTTACTGAAGTGGAAAACATGATGAAGTACATCACCACTCACAACAATGCGGCAAAAAGAGAGAAGTGGAGCAGAGTTGAATATGAGATTACCATTAACGAGGACAATTCAATATTCACGTGCGAGTGCGGCCAGTTTTAGCACACGGGGTTGCTGTGCAGCCATGCCTTGCGAGTAAACTGCCATAAAACATGTACCGTCTGATATAAAAATGTATGCAGTAACTAAAAAACTCCTCACAAACTAGTGGTTTTCTCTCATGCAGGTCATGGAAATTCTTCATCTTGAAGAGATCCCTAAATACCACGTCGTCAAACGGTGGACAAAGGACGAAAGAGACATACTACCAGGTCACCTAGTCTAGTACCAGAGGGACAATTCACAGAACATGTCGTTCACTTGCAGGCATGCGACACTCTACTTCAAAGCCATGGAAGTCGTGCGGATGAGGGACGCAAGTGCTGCATGCTATGAGCACGTCAATGTTGCCCTTGATTCAGTGATTCAAAGTGCAGCGCCTTTGGCAGAGAAACGGGATGGACTGGCTTTCGAGGATCGCGTGATTCCAACGGCTGATGTCAGGATGTCTGCCAACGGCGAGCAAGCAAATGCTGATCGTGAGGCCGACCATTGCCCAAGTGCCGGAAATTCTTTCAGCACGAATGCCATGCAGTGCCTCACAACACCAGAGAAGCGTAGAGGGCCTGGCAGGCCTACAAACAGCAGGGACAAGGCGCCATATGAAGGACCGAGTAAGAGAACAAGGTTCTGCAGCATATGTCGGCGCGAAGGGCACAAGAAAACGACATGCCCAGAAAGAGGGGATATGCCGAAGAAGCCACAGAAGCCTGGGAAATGCAAAAACTGCGGGATAGAAGGGCACCGACGTACCACGTGCACGAGACCACTTGGGTTTGCACATAATTGATATAGGTTTCTAAGTTTATGTGATTTTCGAGTTGGTTTGTAAACTATGAAAGAGTGGGACGCACATGATCTGTGCCGAATCATTGTATACCGCTGTGCTGAGGTTTTCTGTGCTTATCGTCCGGCGAACTTGTTTACTTCTGTACGTGCTGTGAGAAGAAAACTGAAATTGCTAGTGGCTGTAACATTAAGAATAAGTAGCTGAGTTGAGAGAACCTCTGTGCTTGGTGGTCGGTGTCATGCGAATAAATCTTTGCTTCCAGTGGGTGACGACAGAATTGGTGGCCTGAATCCGTTTACGACTTGTTTGCTTGACGACATGGACGCAACGTTAGCGTGTGCTAGTTCTGGCCGTACCCACATATTCAAAATTCAAACAAGGTACCATATGCAGGAAAAGGGGGCCCTTGGAGCTGGCAGAAGGCACGGTATAAATAGGAGGCCAAGGCTGAGGTGCTACACTTCAGACACACCACTGCCCACAACTCAGTTCGAAAAATTTCAAATCGCCCGCCTGCATCCGATGGGAGGCTCACTCGCTGAATCGGGAAGTAGTGGCACAACCAGAGGCGAGGGGCATAATGCGTTCCTCCACTTGATTAATCCCGTGAGTTCCTCCAATCTTCTTCTGAAATTGGTTTGTGATGTAGGCATATGCTTCAGCGGTGCATCGATTTCTGAAGGAAGCAAAAATCTGCTTGTTGCAACCTTCATCTCCATCCCGGGCGGACTCCGTATCTACCGCTTGGAGCACGACGCACCAGCCAGCTGAGTTGGAGGTCGGGAATGGAGAGGTGAGCATTTCGAACTGTACAAAACTATCGCGCAGACAGCTGAACCTTACCTCAATCCAGTCTGATACGGTTATGTCTCGATTCTCTTCAGGGCGAGGTCGTCCAAGACGATGCGTTTGACGAGCAGCCTCTCGTCCATGGTTTGGATGCCATGGTGGGGCAAGAACCCTTGGAAGAAGGGTTTGGCGACTATGATCCAACTGCTGCTCCTAACTCTCCGTGAAGCACTGGTAGCTCAGCCGTCGACGACGAATCTGGTGTCATCTATGGTGGTCGCGTTGTAGACTCTGAAGATGAAGAAGACATTGTCAGCATGACGCCGAAACGCCATCGTATTATAGAGTAGAAAGCGTAGCTAGATGAGAAGTGGTATGTGATTAGTGTGGCAAGAGATGACGGTGATTTAGTTCCTTCCACGCGTTCCTCTAAAGGCATCCTTGAATGTAAAATGTAGTTTCCCGTCTCGTGTTCACTCATTTTCTGTCAGTAATGTTGAACTCCAGGGGCATGTGTGGGAGGTATGGGAGAGAGGGCATGGGATGGGGCCAATCTATATTTTTTTCCTGACTTATTTCCCCTTGTCGTGGAGCTGCACGTGTTCTTGTGGGTCAATAAATATAATTGGAAAAAAGACCAGCGACTAATGAATACATGATATAAAATTAGTTCGTCCGATTTGCCTCGTTGTGTGAGTGGGGGATATATGTCGTGAAATGCAAAGAAGCATAATAAAGCGTGGGTGGGTTGGCGTTGGCAGCAAGAGGGAGGACCGCTGCTCCCGGTTATTCCTTCCCCTTGGCATGGACCTCACTGAAACAGTGAATGAACTGTTCCCACCGGGGAGCATTTCAGCTAGTACCGATCTGGTTCCGGAAAAAAGGACAAGCGTACATCTCCTGTGTCCGTCCACTATGGGCAGATTGCGCAGGTAGGCACTTTTAGAAGCTGGGTTCAGATGGACCACGTAGTAAACAGCTTGAATAAATTTTTAAAAAGTGAGCATATACACTCCATGACGGGTGATATTTTGCAACGGGATCATGATCCCACGAGGCAGTGTGGTACGCTAAATTCATCCCAGGACGAACCGTGTGCCACTCCAAATACGCTAAATTCATCCCAGGACGAACCGTGTGCCACTCCAAAACGCAGCTACCCCGGTCATCGATTGCACAAAAAATCATAATAAAATGGCAATAAAAAAGGCTGCGTTTGAAATTTTTGGGTGGCGTGGTCAGCTAGCAGTAAACGTGACTTGACCTTTCACTGTGTCACGGGGGGTGAGAGACAACTCGTAGCCTCATTTACAAGAAGGCTACCCGGCCAGCAGCCAGATGAAGGAAATATGCCCTAGAGGCAATAATAAAGTTATTATTTATTTCCTTATATCATGATAAATGTTTATTATTCATTCTAGAATTGTATTAACCAGAAACATAATACATGTGTGAATACATAGACAAACAGAGTGTCACTAGTATGCCTCTACTTGACTAGCTCGTTAATCAAAGATGGTTATGTTTCCTAACCATGGACAAAGAGTTGTTATTTGATTAACGGGATCACATCATTAGTTGAATGATCTGATTGACATGACCCATTCCATTAGCTTAGCACCCGATCGTTTAGTATGTTGCTATTGCTTTCTTCATGACTTATACATGTTCCTATGACTATGAGATTATGCAACTCCCGTTTGCCGGAGGAACACTTTGTGTGCTACCAAACGTCACAACGTAACTGGGTGATTATAAAGGAACTCTACAGGTGTCTCCAAAGGTACATGTTGGGTTGGCGTATTTCGAGATTAGGATTTGTACTCTGTCGGGGGACTAATCCACGAGCACCTATGGGACCGGCGGACCGAGTCCCTTTTGGTTCGGCGGGGGCGAGGGTCGCACGAAGAGCGGATCGAGGCGAAGCACACGAGCAGTTTACCCAGGTTCGGGCTGCACGGATGCGTAAAACCCTACTCCTGCTTTGTGGTTTGTATTGAGTTCTTGCTCGAGAGCGCGGAGTGCTACAGTACACCCCAGCAGCCAACGAGACCGAGCGTGAGTGTTCTCTTCCTCCCCCCTTTTCTCTACACGTTGCGCATGGGCCTCCTTTTATATGCTCAAGGGGTCACCGACAGGTGGCAACGTAGACAAGGGTAAAAATGGAAAGGTGTTGCGGTTGGTACAGCTACCTGCTACAGTGTATCATACCTAACCCTGACGGCAGGGGACCAGGGCATTAAATGCCCGTCTGCGTTGCCTAAATAGTGCAAAAGGGACCGTCAGGGACGCCACCGCTCGCCACGATGGCAATCTTGTCAGTGCCGCTTGCCACCGTGCACCGCTGGCTGCACAGCCTCCCGCCACGTATGCCTGGAAGGGTCCCAGAGCGACACGTTGGTGGATGTGCTGGAGCGCGGGCAGAGAGTGGTGGCTTGCCGCGGCAAGCGCCTTGCCGCGGCCGTTGTCTTGTTGCGTCCAGGAGCTTGTCGTTCACCGGGCCTTGCCGGGATGCGTGGCGCGTCGCGGCAAGTTCCTTGAGATGCCTTGGTTGGCCTTCCCGGCAAGCTCCTCTTGCCGGGGTCTTGTCTCCTTGCCTTGGATACTTTGTCCTTGAATGGCTCCAAAGGAACCACGGAGGACCTTGGCGGTCACCCGGCAAGCCTTGCCGCGGGATGCTGTGACTGCCCGTGCACAAGTTCGGGATACTAGGGTACCCCTACTCTAGTACACCGACAGGAGCCCCCGGGCCTGGGCCATACACGGTGCCGAGCGCTGTTGGGCCAGGCCCAAAACAGGGCACGGGCACGCGCGGCCTGGGTTACGTTGTATCTCTCCCCGTATCCACCGCGCCCTCCCCGAACGGCACGCATTGAATGCGGCATCGTGGGAGAGATCGTGGATGGTTTCTTTATTCGGAAAGGCGGAACGTCCGCCCCCTTCCTCTTTATAAGCATGGGAAACAGGGGTAGTTCGCCCATTCGCCGGTTGCTACTCCAATCTCGGAAACCTCCACCGCTCCCTTGTCTTCCCAAAGCTGAAAGAGAGCAGCGCCCCGCCCCCCATCGCCACCAACACCACCAACACCGTCGACCTCCTCCACCACTTCCGCCATGGCTCCGAGAGCCAACAAAGGGAAGGTTGTGAAGTCGACCGAGGCGTAGCGGCTTGCGGCGCTGCGAAAGGAGCGGGCAATCTTCCCCCCCAAGCTCGCCGCGAGGGAGCTGAGGGAGAATTACTACCTCTTCTGGTCGACGGAGATGCGAGCGCATCCGCGCACGAAGGTACTTCCAGCCGCCGCTTGGAAAATGGCTCCAAATGGATATCCTTTCTTCGCCTTATTCTACTACTGCGGGCTCTGCCCGCCTTTCTCTGAGTTTTTCTGCGATATTATGAACACCTACGGGTTCCGCCTCCTTGACTTCACCCCCAATGCTGTTCTGACCATGGCAGTTTTCGCACATCTCTGCGAAAACTTTGTCGGAGTCTATCCCAATGTAGCCCTTTTTCGCCACTTCTTTATGCCCCGAGTAGAGAGAGGAGAGCCTTTATCCGGCCGAATCGCCTGGATCTCGAGGGCCAGCAAGAAGGATACTTATGTGGAGAGAGAGTTCCGCGGCAAGTGGGAGGAATGGAGAGCAGACTGGTGCTGGATTGTCGAGGAGAACCCGCAGCCGTTTACCGCCCGGCGCCAAGCCCCAGTAGCACGCGGCAGCGATTGGAGTGACGTGGCCCCGGAAGACGATGGGCTGAAGATTGCCGTCACCCGGATCCAACGCCTCAGGCTTGCCGGGCTCACTGTAGGCGCTGTTGGCGCAGATTTTCTTTGCCGCCGCATCGCCCCCCTGCAGGAACGGAGGAGACCCGCCTGGGAATTCAAGATTGCGGCGGATATCATGAGGCTGCGTCCGGGCCTCAACTTCAACTTCACTGTTCTGGAGCTTAACGCGATGCTCCAGGAGCTGTTCAAGTACGACCCTCAACATCCCGAAGTTTTCAGGTTGCCGAAGGGTGTCGTTCCGCTGTGCAACAACTCCGCGCTCGACCGCATCCGTGCAATGATGCCGCTGTGCGATTCACATGGAATTGTCCCAACTTGGCAAGAGCCTGCAGACGACGTCGTGCAGGAGTTCTTTGACGGCTTGGTAGAAGTGTCGGTCCGCTCCGACGAAAAGAATAGCCTCACCCGCGACACCACGGATGCGGAGATG